AGATAGAACACAGAGTCACAATTAAGTCATAATATCAAACGACGTCATCATGATGTCATTTGATACTTAAAAATGAATTTTTAAGTGACAAGTAGAGTGATGATGATGTCCTTGTATTAGTACGATTTCTATGTTCTACTTGGGTTTTTCATTCTTTCGGAGCAAGATTTATTTCAAACAATTTAGAGAGAACCCTCGTACTTCAGATTCAGCGAACTACGAGATCGCGCATAACCGGCACAACGATGCCACTGACGAAGACGACGACGATGACGACGATGATCCCGGGGTTGCCAGACGCGCGCTTGCCATGTTTCGCGGACTATCTGGGCGCGTGCGGGCGAAACTGACGAGAAAGGGGGTTAGGTAGGTTCTCGGTATCCGGCGCGGTATCAGCGACGATAAGTCATTATGCAACGAAAGATCTCCGAGAGGAGTCCACTGACGAAGTTCGTTCGCTCGCGCGCGTGTGAGAGAAAGAGAACGACACTCGGCGCGCATGCGCCGAAAATCCCGCCAAAACCGTCGCGGGGAGATCTCGCCGAGCACGGGACTCGCCATTCCTCGAGCGCGACGTCGCGCCTCTCGCGCGCGCTAAATGCAGGGTAAGAGGAGGAGGAAGAGGAGGAAGACGGGAGCGTGGAGGTAGGGACAAAGCGGTCGCGGGGAGAAGGGGCGACGAGTCCTCGGATCGGAGGCGCCGGAGGACGGGTGGACGGGGTGGAGGAGAAGGAACGTATCGAGTGTTCGGAGAGGCACTTCCTCGCGACGTCTGGACGCACTACAACGTCGCGTCGTAATCGTCGACGACGAGACACACCGCGAGTCACTGCCGCCGTCAGCAGCGGCAGTGACTTGGTAAACGAGGCGCCTTCACGTAATAGTCTCCCCTACGTGAAAACTACGGCGGATCGTCGTCGGGTTTACCTACACCAGCCACCGGATAACCAACCCTCTACCGATCGTGACTCGCGGCGAGCCACGAACACGCGGATCGAAAACCGCTCGCAGACTACTACTGCGTGTCAGACGGATTCCGCGCGCGGGAATGTTATGCGCGCGCTCCGTCCGTCTCGCTCTTCCCCCTGTCGCTGGGTGTGCGCGCGCGCATGCTACGATATATATATATATATATATACACGCACACATACTTTCTCTCTCTTTCGGCTCGCGCGTCGATCTCCGTCTCCTCTTCGCATACGCACACGTACAGCCGCTCAACACGCTCACTCACACACATGTCCAGACGCTCCAATTTTCTCCCGCTCTCTCTCTCTCTCTCCCTCCCTCTCTTTCTCTCCATCTCTCTCGCTCTTTCTCTCTCTCCTCCCCCGTACGACTATACGGCAGGATTCTACAAATGCTTCCGTACCGTGTATACGTCTCGCAAACGTCTCCCTGCCGCGCTATGGAGGCTGACCGTTGGGCACTCGTCACTCGCGGCGCGTGCCGCGGCCGATGCTCACTGTACGACGTACGCTCGATTCGACAACTTTGATTTACATCGGGCCTAACGTCGCGCCGCGCGCGGTTTCGCTCTCGCACCGAACAACAACCACCACCACTACTACCACTACAAAAGAACAATCACCACCACTACCACCGCCGCTGTCGTTGTCGTCTTCGTCGTCGTTATCGTTGTCCTCGTCGCCGCCGCTACTGTCGTTGTCGTCGTCGTAGTCGCTTGTCGTTTATGCGGGTTTCTCTACTTTATTTCTCTCTTTATTCTATAATCCGTATATACGTGTATTCCCTCTCTCTCTCTCTCTCTTTCTTTCTCTCTACGTGTGTCGTGTGTATGTATATATACTTTTTTTGTACTTTTCGCGTTACGTGTTTATACGTGTTTATCGAACGTCGTGAGTGTTACTGTGAATAACATAACGACGGCGCGCCGGTTAACGCGGCGTGGCTACGGGCCTTTGCTCATACGAACGTTCTGCCACATCATGATGTTTAGTTCACTAAACTAACCACTAGCATGGCGACCGACCGACCGACCAACCGACCGACCGACACACACCGCAGCGCGCGCTCGTCGCTTACGCGCTTCTCGCTGCCTCTCCCGCCCCCCCTTTTTCCTCCTCGTCGTCCTGCGACTCGGTTCTCTTCGTTTCGTTTCGTCACTGTACGCCGTTCTCTCCTCCACCCCGCTTCACCGCTGACTAACCTGGACTAACCACCCTTCTTGAGCCGTCGTCGCCATGATCGCGCTGTCGTCGTCGTCGTGTCCGCTTTGTCTCCTCGTGTGCGTGGCAATTGGCCACGTGACAACAGCGTCGCCAATCACGTGCGTGCGTCCTCACGCCGCATCAGGGAGGATTGTGGACTTGCCTTTATAGCGGGAATGCGAGCCGCGGAAAATATCCATGGAAAAAAATATTTACGGGAAAAGTAATTAAATTATTATGCGCGATGATCCACAAAAAAATCTTCTCAATGAGTGGTAATAATTTAATGACTCTATCATCAGGAAGTCGCTTGCGTTTCTTGAAATGAGATGGAAATTACAAAGCAGATTTACTAGATATGTTAATCAATAAAATTATTCTTATAAATTCGCTCTGTCATTTTACCTCTTTTTCTAGATACACAATTGACCTTCTAGTGCATAGATAATTAAAAGTATCAAATTCTAAACTGCAAAAGTTAATAAAAAAAACGAAGGAGGTTACTCTATAGATATCAAAATTGTATTCCTAATAAAACGTAATATTTATTTAAAGATAAATATATCTGCGTTTTTCCGTGTGATTCTTTTATTCATTGAAACAACGTTGAATACAATTTTTATAACGTGAACATATTTTTTTTTTTCTTTAGGAGAAAGATACGTATGGAAACGAGGTAACGAGACTAGCGAGACCTTTGCCAGTAGAATATTTATTGGTAGATGTACCTGCGTCCACACCACTTACTCCACAGTTCACCTTTTTCACGGATGATAACATTACTCCATTTCCAGTGGAGAACAGGTATTGTAGACAAATACATATTGTACATAAATGAATACAGTTAATAAAGTTACTCATATGAACATCGCTATTTCAGGCAGGTCGATGGACAAGTTCAGGAATTCAATTCATTGTGCACTTACATGCAACAATTTAACAGCGATCAATTTCTGGAGGCAACTTCTGATTTTCACTTGCTCCTTTTCATCGCTACTATGGATATGTATCCAATGAAGGTATGACTTCTTCTTTAATTTTCTATCTATAACAGGCCTGTCCAATTTGAGCTCGGGAGCCAAAACGCAAAGCTACCGACGCAAAAAATTCAGTGTGGGTAAGATTTCAGGGACTGTAAAGTGTTGATATGTTAATGACGAATACGTATTTGAGTTTTTCTTGTACATACATATGAGGCTAAAAATGTCTTCATGCTAACGCTCGACACTCATTTTTAGCGATAAAACAGGTCAAGTGATCAAAATTGACTTTTGATATTCAATTTTTATCACATGACCTCTTTTCGTGCTAAAAATGAACTTCAAGCTTATGAAAAGGCACGTTTAGAATTGAACTTGAGTCTTTTGTTTAAAACAACTGCTCTACTATTGAGCTCTGCTATATACTGGGTGTCCCATAAAGACCAGAACAACGCTTAAGGAGAGATTCCTGAGATCATTTTGAGACGAAAATTCTAACACCAAAATGTTGAGGCTATAATAACTTTTGAATTATAATTGGTTAAAGATAGTGTGTAATTCGAAAACTATTATAAGTATTTAAAGTTAGCTTATAATTAAAAAAATTATTGTAGTTCGACATTTGGTATTAGAATTTTCGTCTCAAAATGATCTCAGGAATCTCCCTTTAAGCGTTGTTCGGGTCTTTACGGGACACCCGGTATAACGTTATAATGATTGTCGATAATTATTAATATATATTTTGTTTTACAGGACCATATGTTGCCACTGCTCGAAGCTATCCGCAACAAGGACAAGCAAAAAGCATTGGAGTGGGCCCGATCGGAGCATTGGGCGACGGTGGAGCAACTTATATCCGTGACCTCCACGTCGTCGCGTCCTCCGCAAATGTCGTCTTTCGGTAACAGCTCAAGGACGTTGCCTTCCGTAGCCGCGGAAGGCAGTGGAGGAATAGGCGTCGGTACCGAGCCGATCGCGAATCCACCACCCGACCAAGCTCTCTGGACCTGTTCTCATTGCACTTTTCTCAATGCCGCGGATTTAGCAGTTTGCGAGATGTGTAATCTGCCAAGGTACTCGTAATAAACTGTCAAAGCACTAACGACGAATTCAGTGTGCGTTTAAGGGGTGCTGTCTTTGAATCTACTACTTCGCTTCCGCAGGATCTGACGCGTAACGTGTCCTCGCGGATATAACGATTGTTTTCTACGCATCTTTGGCCTTATTTATGAGTGAATAAAAAAAAAGGAAGAAAAATCACCACACAAGTATTTTCCAACTGACATATTTCCTCCCTACCAAGCTTCTCCCCGTGATACACTTTTTGCAGCCAGTTTGAAACAGTCCGATTTAGACGGCCTAACTAAATATTAATCCTAGCAGAATGTTCTATGAAGTTCTGACTTATATAAATTGATTCTATTAATGATATTTACTATGGATTTTTTATGTGTTTACAGAGAAGATGTTGAAGAATATGATGAAGAGATGATGAGGGAATTGTTTTGATAACAGAATCATGAGTTCAAAAGTTCAGTCAAGCCTAATGATGCTACAATGTCAGAAATTTGCGTCAATATTTTGGTATTAGAAAAATTAAAATTGCATGGATTTGATTACTGATCCATGCGGATCATACATATTTTCCATCTATATTATATACATGATATTTTTTCATGACCATTTAATTATTATTGATATGGGAGACACACATGTAATATTTTGCGAAATAATTCGTAAAAAAACTGGTCATTATTAATATATGTGTGGATTAGCAGGGTACATAAATTAACTGATAAAAAAGAATTAAAACATGTAGGTTGTTTACATATATTATACATATCCACTGTTTACTTAAATTATATTCCAAATAAAATTTCTCTTATCGTTAATAATAATTATTCTGTATCGGCATATTGCCAACTCTTCTGTTTATGTTGTCCTCCTCTATATCGATTCCTTGATGACGGTAATGTACTAATCTTCGAACCACTAATCTTCGAAACAATAGCATCAAGAAGATCACGATTCTGCAGTAAGCCACCGGTGATGATGTAAGTTTTTTTAACAAGACTTTCATCTGTATAATTCTTCAAGTGCGAAACCGATATATTCTCTCCCTTGATATCTTCTGAGATCTTCTCCAGTATGGCTTTTTCCTCACCGCGCTTGTGTACCAGTACCACCAGGATGGTTTTAGCATCGTCGCTAAGACCAAACTGATTCAAGGCACAAACTATGCTATCCGACAAAGACATGTTGAATAAGATTTCTGTATTTATGTTTCTTGTAACCATTCGATTTCGCGTAGAATTGAGGGCTGCTCTATTGGCAGCCACCACCACCTGAAAAGGGTCGAAAATGGGCGCGACATTTGCTATGCAACATTGAAGCTTCCCAGTAATGAGTTTCTCACGTATTTCAATGGTATTTGTGACATTGGTAAATAAACACATCGAGCAGAATAACCCAGTCTCATGGTCTAACTCGACGGTCTTATAATCTATGTCAGACATTGTGGATATGTCATAAGTGACAGTGCACCAATCGACTCTGGTCGCTGAGGATCTTCTGCTAGAAGATACGGCAATATCTGTAAATACGTTACTTTTCAGTGATGACTGACAGACACCTATAGAGTTTTCTCTTTGCTGCACTAGTGCACAATGAGTGCATGTTAAAGCTGTCGTACACAAATTGACATAAAGATATATGTTTAATATATCTAAGTGTAACAATGGATGAAATCATGAAATCCTCAATACATTTTACTGTTAAATAAAATCTGTATTTTATAATTCGAAATATTTGAATTTTACTTCTACACAATTTAAATCAATGTACAACAGCTTTAATATGCACTCAGTGTGCACTAGTGCAACCAAGAGAAAACAGTATAGAATGTTAGAAGACCGATTCAGGATTTAGGCCCGGTCTCACCAACTCCGATTAAGCTAGAACGATGTGATAATAACAGCACAGATCCATATTAATGGCAAATTTCTCAAATGCGAAAAAGTCATGCGAGTCGAGCATGTTAAAGAGCACGTGAGTATTCGGCGCCCTGCCAGAAAAAAGATGTTTTCAAGTCTTGCAGTTGGCAATATTTAATCGACCGATTAGCTTGAGATCAGAGTTGGTGAGATCGGGTCTTATTACCGTTTTTTAAATAAGATGAAAATGACTAAAATATTTATAACTTCCATACCTAATGAATTTACTCACTTTTGTAAAGCTCACTCCGTTTCAGAGAACCGTAGCAAGCTTCCTGAGCGAAACAATACGTCAACACGACGAAATAATACCAGTAATGATTTTACAGAAGCGTATCCCTTGAAGAATGGGCAACGAATGGGTGAATGATGGGCAAATTCAAATCGGCAAAGCGAGTAGGTTTGTTACTAAATATTGGTTGAATCCACAGTAAAAATCAATCAAGCTCATTCGTATAAATTCTCCCATTACTCGGGATTTGGGAATTACCACTCACCGTGCACTAACGCCATCTGAGTAAACAACGCAGCTGGAATGGCAATAGTAAAATGAAGCGAACGGCTTACTCGAATGGTAAAAGACTGAGACTGGCGTTTTTTGAAAAAAATAGTTTTAAATAATAATAAATATTGTTACTTAAATACATTAACGTGAGATTAACGTATATTACAATAAAATTAATTGTAATATACGTTTTACCTCAGGCAACACACAATATTTATAAAATATTTACAAATATTTATAAAGCATCTTAAATATTTTATAAATATTTTTGTGGTCTTAGATTGCATAGATCATAAACATTTATTATAAATATTATGAAATATTTATTATAAATCTTGTAGTAAATGCTTAATAATAGACATTATAATTCAAATAAAAAATACTTAACAGAAATATTTATTTATGTTTATCATAAATATTACATTAAATATTTAGAGAGAGTTTATCTTTTAATAATATTTCGAATAAAGCTTTATATAAAATATGTAAAACATATTTATATAACATTTCAAAAAATTAATAATAATAAATATTTATCATAAATATTCTGTTGTCTGAAACGTTAATAAATTTTTTGCTTAAAATTATCTTATTTTCTATATAGTTTTAATTAAATATATCTTCTATACTATATTTTTTATTATAATTTTTTCGTCCACTTTTTTACAATAATAATACATTGTTATTAAGGTATTGATAAATATGTATTAAAACAAAAATCAATAAATGTTTATATCATGTCCCATAAAAATACATAAAGTCCAATATGTCAATAATATGTACAGTAGTGTCAGCTGCAACAGCTTTAATTGATTTTTTTTAGCGCGTGGCGATTAGATAAAAGATATATAATCCGTATTTAGAATAGTTATAAGTATACAGGCAGAGATTTCTATAATGAAATAATATTACAGATAATTCCCAGCCAACGCTAAATATTCCTGAAATATTCATAAAAGGTTCTTAAAATCCCCAAAAATCGTTCCAAAAGTATTCCAAAATATTTATTATATTCAAAAATTCATCGGTAAAAAATTCTATTTATATATCGTTACATATTCTGAGAATGTTCCATATACGTTCCGAAAAATTTTAATTTTTCCAAAAATTCCAGGTCCAGTCGTCCCCGAATCAGTTTTTAAACAAAATTTTGCTTTGAAAAACTTACTTCACACTTTCACCTTGGAGCCCAATTTTGAGGCTTACTTTACAGGAGAAATGCTGCGTTCTTTATATTCTCTCCCAAATGATTCTTGTTGACGATAGTAAATGCTTTTAGCCTCGATTCCTCGGCGGAGATGTGTACTGCTCGCTCGCTCGCGATATACAAGAAGTATTCATATAATATTCTGAACATTTCATCGACATTTGTATATTCTGTGACGATTCTTTCACTGTGCCGGAATATTCGGCACATTGGAAATACGAATCGAACTTTCTAAGAATATTTAGCGTTAACTAGGTTATAATAATGTTTTATTATGTTATTGTTTATTTTATATACATATATAATGTTACAGAAGTTTGTGCTTATAACTTATAATGATGTTAGCATTTTTATTTAGCATTATATAGTTTACGTTAAATATACTATAACTATAAAATTTTAGAAATGAAAGCGCGCATTTATCGATAAAAATTCAGCGTCGCTGAATACGGATGATTAAAATATTAAACGTCTTGAAATTTGCAACTTGTCTATTTGAGAATATGTGATAGATATCTCATCTGTCACAAATGACTGATAATGTTAATAATAATACGTTCTTGGTGCATGAAAATTGTGAATAATCATGATTGCTACACTTTCACATAATATAAAAATTGGAATAAAATTAATCTTTATCATCGCCCATTATGACGGATGATACATCACGCGAAAATATTTTAGAACAATTATACGATTACGGTAAATTTATTTTCTCACGTTAGAGTAATCGGGACACAAAATGATCTTATACACTCTTAATATAAAATCAATCAAATATATCACACACATTATACATTATACTCTATTTTACAACATACACATTTAATAAAATCCTAATCAACATTTTATAAAAATTATTTTAAATTATTTGTACAGTACAATTAGGAGTAGAATGGGGTTCGGAAAAACTTCAATCAATGTGTCCTTCCAAGAAAAGAAAACCGAAAAATAAATGTAAACCGGAGAAAGCTGAAGAAGATACTGACATAGGCCCACCTTGTACGGAGCAACAACCATACATACTTCCTAGTCAAATTTGTCCTAAATCGGTTTCTTGTTGTTATATAAAAATGCAGGTATATAAAAAATCAAAAGTGAACTAATATTATCATACTTTCTAAACTGATTATTGAGAAAACATGAACTGTTTCTTCATAAACTTATTAAACAATTTTCTGCATTATTGTTATGCATTATAAATCGTAAATGAATAAGTCCACTGTCCCTTTTGTGTAAGAAATATATCTCATAATTGAAATTAACTGTAACTCACGATTAATCAAAATTAATTTTAAAAAAAAGGTGATGAATTAGAAGACATTATTTAATACAAAGTTTTAAACTCAGGTAGAGTGAAAAAGATAAAATGAAAAAGATACGCACATGTGTGAAATAAATTCTTATAATTTTTATAGACGTAATAATTTCGATTAAAATGTTATATATAAACATATACAGGGTGTTTCCAAATTAAATGGCAAAACTTCGGGAGCGTGTAGAGGAGTAAAAAACTAAGAAAAAAAGTCCTATAGACATATGCTCCTTTTTGCTTTGTTTCGCAGGAAATCACGAAAAAAGAAAAAAATATATTTAATTTATTATTTTAATTATTTTATTTATAAACTTTTTAATGAAGATTTTGTTCGAAATGTGCACCTCTTGCAGCAATACAAGCATTGCATCTGTCAAACACGGCTCTTGTAGCAGCCAGGCACTGTTCTTGCGATATTCTGTTCGCTGCAGCTACGATACGATTTCTCAAATGTTGCTCTGATTGAATAGGCGAAGAATAAACTTCTTGCTTCAGAGTACCCCATGCATAGAAATCTAATGGCGTTAAGTCGGGCGAACGAGTTGCCCAATGTACTGCTCCTCCACGTCCAATCCATCGTTGTGGGAATTTTCTATCTAACCAGGTTCTAGCGACTCTGCTGTAATGAGCAGGGCATCCATCTAATTGAAACCACATTTCAGTACGTTGTTGTAATGGGATGTTTTCTAAATAGTCAGAAAATTCATTCTCCAAGAAATTTAGAAAACGGTCCCCATTTAATCTTGCAGGTAAAAAAAACGGTCCCACTAAAACGTCGTTCCAAATTCCAAGCCAGACATTAACAGAAAACTCTTGCTGAAATTTGTATTCTCTAACAGACCTGGGATTTTGATGAGCCCATATATCATAATTCCTTTGATTAATTATTCCACCTCTGGTAAATGTTGCCTCATCTGACCACATTATTTTAGATGGAAATAAAATATCATTGTGGCATGTCTGAAGGTACCAGTTACAAAAGTTCAATCTGTTCCAATGATCTTGAGGTAATAAATTTTGCACTTTTTGAATGTGGTAGGGATAGCGATTATCTCCTTTTACAGTTCGCCAAATTGTTTGTGGTGACACTCCCAATACAGCCGACGCATTCCGAACGCTGGTCTCAGGATGATTGTCAAAATGTTGTAAAATACGATTCCCTGCCTGCAAATCTCTTCGTAACGCTGCTTGAAATCGGTTGTTTTCTTGTCGAATTGAAAATGTTCCAGTCTCTCGCAATCTATTAAATGTCAACATAAACACTCTTCGGTTTGGCACTCTTCTGTTTGGAAATCGTCGTGCATATTCTCGCACCGCCTTTAAAGCATTACCGTTGCAGAAACCGTATACAAAAACCATATCAGCATATTCACTATTAGAATACGTACGCGGCATATTGCAAAAGACAAAATTCATCTACTGTTAAAGGCTTTCAAAGAGCGACTGACAAATTCATAACAGAAAGTGGAAAATGTAATCAAATATGTCGGTGCTAGATATGGCAAGAAATGTAAACATTTTTTTTCGATTTCTCTGAAACGGAGCAAAAACGAGCATATGTCTATAGGACTTTTTTTCTTAGTTTTTTACTCCTCTACACGCTCCCGAAGTTTTGCCATTTAATTTGGAAACACCCTGTATATATACTATTCTCAATTTTTTATTTAAAATTAATCAAAAATTTGATTAATTCCGTTATTTAAAATTAATAAAATTTTTGTCTCTGACAAATTGTGTCTCTGACTTATTTTGTTCTTTGATTGAATTCTTCAATTGCAATAATTTATAGGATCCTTATGCCCCATGCTGTTGCGAGACGAAGCCGCAACCACTCCCATGTCCTCCCAAATGTTATCGTCGTCAACCACGAGAACCAACCTGTGGTTGTGATCTCTGCAAAAAGGGTGTCGACAGCAAGTGTTGTGAACCGATCGCGGCTTTTCGCACTATAGTCAGCAATTTCAAATATTTCAAAACATAAAAAATTTGTAAAATTCAATCAGCTCAAACAGATTATATATATGCAAAAATACACAAACAGCAAACACAAATTAAGATAGAAAAGAAGATACTAAAGAAGATGGCGATTAATTACAATTACCAGATAATCAGATTTTCTAGTTCACTTTATATATTTAAATATATATTCTCTTAATCGACACACACGCTCTCTCGATCGTATTTATCTCTCTCAATTATTTATGGCAATTATTTTTATCATTTGTGCTCGAATCGACACTTTTTCTGATTTGTTTTCCAGCTCAGACGATTAGATAATCTTTATGGCCCCAAAGTTCTAATAGTCAAAACATCTAAGTTTACATTATTAGATAAATAAAATAATTTTATTATCTAGGGGTGCTAATAAAATTCTATTTATTTTAGCAATCTACGAGCAAAATTCTCTCAAATTTTGTACTTTCTATAACAGTAATATTGACAGAAAAAAGTAGCAATTTTA